CTCTCCCCCCAGCCCCTCCCTCCTGCCCTCAGTGCAACCAGTTCTTCGACCTCCTGCAAGACCTCGTGGACCACGTCAACGACTTCCACGTGAAGCCCGAGAAGGACGCGGGCTACTGCTGCCACTGGGAAGGCTGCGCCCGCCACGGCAGAGGCTTCCACGCCAGGTGGGTGAGCGGGGGGCGCGGGGCTGCTCTGAGTCACCGTGGGGGCAGCGCGAACCCGCTGCTTGGGCTGGGGGCCATGGAGACCCCTCTAACGGCCGCGGCCCTGGCTGGCACAGGTACAAGATGCTGATCCACATCCGGACGCACACGAACGAGAAGCCACATCGCTGCCCCACCTGCAACAAGAGCTTCTCCCGCCTGGAGAACCTGAAAATCCACAACCGCTCGCACACAGGTGGGTGGGCGCCGTGCCCGGCTCGCCTGTGGGGGGCACGGCAGGCAGAGATGAGCCCCCCGTGCCCGCTGCCTGGAGCCACCATCATGGGGGGGGTCGCAGAAGAGGGAACAGCTTGGAGGTGGGGTCCCCCTTGACAGACGGGACCTTGGGGGCGGTGTACGGCCGGCCTCCGGGCCTACCACGGTGCTCTGTGCCCTCCTGCAGGCGAGAAGCCCTATATCTGCCCCTACGAAGGCTGCAACAAGCGCTACTCCAACTCAAGCGACCGCTTCAAGCACACGCGCACGCACTACGTGGAGAAGCCCTACTACTGCAAGATGCCGGGCTGCCACAAGCGCTACACGGACCCCAGCTCGCTGCGCAAACACATCAAGGCCCACGGCCACTTCGTGTCCCACGAGCACCAGGAGATGCTCAAGGCGCACCAGCCCCCCAAGACGCCCCTGGGCCCGGCAGAAGTGCCTTACGTCAACGGGGCGCAGCTCATCATCCCCAACCCCGCCGCCCTCTTCGGCCCGCACGCGCTGCCGGGCCTGGGCGCATCGCTGCCCCTGCCACTGGCGCCGGCACCCCTGGATCTCAGCGCCCTGGGCTGCGGGGCCGTGGGCTCGGGCGTGCTGCCCGCGCTGCCCAGCCCTGTGCTCTCCCTCAACGGGGCGCCCTTGAACTTGGCCAAGAACCCGCTGTTGTCGTCCCCCTTCGCGGCGGGCGGCCTGGCGCTGCCCGTCATGTCGCTGCTCGCCGGCGCAGCGGGCAAGGCCGAGGCCGAGAAGTGCCACGGGGCCGAGGGCCGGCTGCCCAAGAGCGGCAAGTCGCCGGGGGCGGAGCGGCGCC